ACACCAAACATGGATCCATCCTGCCTTTTATCAATAGTTCAATCTGCTGCTGGTGGTGTAATGGTGTTGGGGATTTTTTTCCAGGCACACTTTGGGCTTATTAGTACCAATTGAGACTGATTGTGTCACAGCCTACCTGTGTATTGTTGCTGACCATGTCGATCCCTTTATGACCACAGTGTACCCATCTTCTGATGGCTACTTCGCACCATGTCATAAAGCACGAATAATCTCAGACTGTTTTTTTTTAACATGACAATGAGTTCACAGTACTCAAATGGCCTCCACAGTCAGTAGATCTCAAAGAGCACTTTTGCGATGTGGTTTAACTGGGGATTTGCATCATGGACATGCAGTCGACAAATCAGCAGTAACTGAGTAATGCTATCATGTCAATAAGGGCCAAAATCTTTGAGGAATTTTCCAGTACTTTGTTGAATCTACTGTATGCCACGAAGGATTAAGCCCATTTTTAAAGCAAATGGGGGTCCTAGTAAGGTGTACCTAATAAAGTGGCTGAGTTTATATATTTACAGGTACGCAGTCAACAATTATTGGTGAAATTATTGTTCAAGCAGCAACTACAAAGCACTTATGCTTTTGCAACATTTTTTTTGTGGTAATGGTGGAAGATTTAAATCAAGTTCCAAAAATTTAAAACTCTGCTATTTTTACAAAAGCTCAAAAAAAGCATATTTTTTTCAAATAAAAATTATCTATCTTCTGATTCAGTTTCATAAGTATGTCTATTATTAAATCGTAGCGTGTTGGATTTGAGTTCTTTAACTTAAACTCTTTTAAAAGTTTAACTCGATCTGATTTGATTTAATCCAACTGGTCTTAATGGTTAATCAGTGAATCATTTGGTAACAATCAATGCATTTCCTTATAGATACAGATTTTTCTTTATGGCTTGCAATTTCCAAAATGGATAATTAAGCAAATGATTTATTGTTACAGAATAAGCCATTTAAAACACGTAATAACTACTATGTTCAAAGTGTGTGTGTCTAAGAAACAGAGCTAATGAGAAAAGGGAAGAGAGAGACTAGAGATTTGCCACTTGAGAACTAGAGAGGATAAGAGAGATTATACAATTCAACTACGTTAGTGCTTTTTTCCACATGATAGTTGTACATTTGGAAAATTGTTATGCAAAAATTCGAACTAACGATGCTTGAAACACTCATAGTCAGATATCAGATATACTGAAGTATATTTTTAGATGGATGGATTACTCTTTAGTGTTTGGACTCACAGCAGTGAATATTAAAACACATTGAACTGATTTGAGCTAATCTGAACCTAAACACTGAAAACTGAACTACACTGTTTCAAGTCACTATAATCTTCTGTGAAGCTGCTTTGACACAATCTACATTGTAAAAGCCTATACAAATAAAGATTAATTGAATTGAATATTTTTAGTAAACATCATATTTTCAAAACAAATAATTACTGAAATAAGTAATGAGAACATTCGATTTATTCACTGAAACACAACAGCATGAAGTCATGCCACATTAGCCATATTCTATCAAAATGAAAGGGCAAATGTTGTTATAGCCATTAAACCGCAAGAAATAGTTTAAAGAGTTTGCCTTTTTAGAGGGTAGAGTTGCAGTAATGTGGTAGCCTCTGCCATGGTTAGGCTTCTGTTTACAGGATCACATGACTTACTCTTGTGTAAAAGGTTGTGCTTAATGCTGTCAGCCTCCCTCAATCCGCATCTGATCAATCTAATGTTACATATACAGTTGAAGTCAGAATTATTAGCCCCCTATTTAATTTTTTTTATATTAATATTTCCCAAATTATGTTTAACAGGGCAAGTAAATTTTCACAGTATGTCTAATAATATTTTTTTATTCTGGAAAAAGTCTTATTTGTTTAATTTCAGCCAGAATAAAGGCAGTTTTAATTTTTTAAAACCATTTTTGGGACAAAATTATTAGCCCCTTTAAGCCAATTTTTTTTCCGATAGTCATTTTAAGCTGTATAGAAGTGTTTTAAAAAGTATCTAGTAAAATATTATTCACTGTACTGCCATCATGGCGAGGATAAAATAAATCAGTTTTTTGAAATGAGTTTTTAAAATTATTATGTTTAAAAATAGGTTGAAACAATCTTCCCTGTAAAACAGAAATTGGGGGAAAAATAAACAGGGGGGCTAATAATTCAGGAGGGGTAATAATTCTGACTTCAACTGTAGTTCATTTCCTCTACCTTTAACTCTATCCTGACTATATTTTCCCATAGTTTGGGCTTCAGTGTTTCAATAAACATGAATTTTACACCGTTTAAACTGGCTATGCCTTTCTACACAGTAACTCAACCCTTATTCTGCAGATATTTGGTTATTATTATTATGCTTATACTTCAGATCCCCACAGTGATGAATACCTGGTGAACACATACACACTTTGAACAAAGAGTTTAAAAATGTTTTGTTTTTTTTTTGCAAACAAGTTTATTAAAATTACTAAATTGATAAAACTGCAAACAAGTTTTACAATAACTACATCTATTAGAATGAGATTTACAGTAATCTAGATAACATAACCTATGACCTATAACTCATTGATCAGTTTGAATGAATTGTGAATTTAAAGACAAACATATGTAAAAAAAAAAAAAAAGAAAAAAAAAGAGGTGCAAGTAAAACTATTTATAGAATGATGAAAGGCAGGGACTTTAAATCAAACATTTATATTGATGAAACACATATTCTGTATTGATTGAATATTTATTCATTTTCTTGTCGGCTTAGCCCTTTACTAATCCGGGGTCGCCACAGCGGAATGAACCGCCAACTTATGCAGCACGTTTTTACGCAGCGGATCCCCTTCCAGCCGCAACCCATCTCTGGGAAACATACACACACACACACACACAATTTAGCCTACCCAATTCACCTGTACCGCATGTCTTTGGACTGTGGGGGAAACCGGAGCACTCGGAGGAAACCCACGCAAACACAGGGAGAACATGCAAACTCCACACAGAAATGCCAACTGATCCGAGGCTCAAACCAGGGACCTTCTTGCTGTGAGGCGACAGCACTACTGAAATCTTAGAAAAAAAGTGATGCTCCATTGTAATATGGATCATACAAATTTTGATACACGATTTTAAAAAGTATGGGATTGTAAACTGAGGAGAAAGCACAAAACTGCAGTATAGATATTTAGTTAGATATTTCATGGCCATACCTTTATCAATGCTTCTGATGACAAACTGGACAGAAAGGAAACTCTTAAAGGTGTCAAAAGTTATCTTTTAGACATTAAACAGAAGAACCACGTTTGGTTCCCTTACGAACCTTTCAGTAATTAAAGCATGTGATCTGGTTTTGAAAGTCTGACCAGCAGCATTGCAAGTGTAATGAGTCTTTTCAAAGTACACCTTTCATGTAAAAAAAAAAAACTGCACCAAAAGATTAACTATGATAACTCCTGTATGCCTCAAACTGTTTTTTAGCCTCAGAACTAATTCCAGCTGTTCAGATGGAGGTGTTTCATCAATTATGGATGCTGTGTAGTTAAAAAGGAAATAGGCTGTGAGGGGAAAAATGTGCAAAAGTAGCATAAGGTGTGCGTGGCACAGTAAAGCTGAATCACTGTCATTGTCTTTGTGCACATTCAACCGCATCAAGCTTCTGCAAGGTCGAGAGCCGAAGACAAAACAGTATAGAGATTCTATCAGTCTACTGGAGCTCATTATAACATAAATGTGTCATTAAACACAATATATTAAATCTGAATGCCAAAGACGTGGAAAAAAATGATAAATAGCTTAATTGTAATGTAGAGAGGAGAAAATGAAAAACGGCACTGTACTGAAGTTAATGAGCCAACAAAGCTAAATTCAAAGGGAACATGAAGCAGAGCTGATTACAGAAGATTCCGTATCTGCTGTCCCAGCAATACATGAATGATGTGATTACATAAAAATAAAGCAAATTAAACAGAAAAAAATAAGACAGATGTATAGAAAAACTGTAATTATCCTACAGTGCTGTTGTGTACATTGATGCAGTGTGGTCTATCTTATCCTTTGAGAGATAATTTGTGTTTTCCCTGTTTATCCGCAAATCATTATGAAAATTGCATTAAGCAACCCTTGCTTGTGGCTATGGACTCATAACAACGCTAAAGAGAAGGTGTGGCTCCACTTGTTTAGCATGTTTCAACACATGAACCTAAATGAGCCCGGTGGTGAAAATAATTACAGCTTAATTCAGTGTTGGAATCCGTATCAAATGTGCAAGGCCAGAATGTCACGCAGTCACGGACAACTGCGGCTCATTGTTCTGAGCTGTCGATTTTTTTATATATACCTATTTTACCACTTCATGGCAGTTTGATTGTACATATTTCTTTGAATTTAATGCTGATTCATTGTGAGAGGGTCACTTTGTTACTGCTATCTGTGAAATACATGTTTAGCTGGTTATTGTTAGAAATTTAAACATCCCTGAGCATCATCATTTTTTTTTTTTTGCTCGAGTTCTAAAATTGATCCTAATCTACAACAAACATTTACAGTAGTTGCATTTAACCTGTATTTAATCTTAGAGATCTACCCACTGTTATTTAGCTGATGCTCAAAGAAAACACATAATCATCGCAGGCGCCCAGGAGAGGGGCCTAAACTATAAGCATCATTGTCTGAAATCAAGCTTGGGGTTTATTGCTCATTATACAGACTTGGTCTGACAACATGATTAATATGTCTCAATTTAAATGTCTGAGGTCATGTTCTTGATAAAAGCTTCTCTATTAGATGTCTTATGCCACAAACCCACAACCTGCACAAGCAACATGTTGATCTACTTCTACCATGGAAATCGAATGCAATTTATTTTTATTTGTTGGTTAAATCTTTAGTGATGATTGATTTCAGCATGTTTTGATCCTCCAGAAGCAAATAAAAATAAATAGATGTAATGATGATAGACAATCAGTATTTTAATAAATTTACTTTTTTAAACAAGCAACTAGCAACAAACACAATGTGGTCAACACCATAACAAATATTCACAGCAACACTGAAGTGTTAAATCAGCATTTTATGGGTGAACACAGTCATTAAAAGTTAAGTTACTTGAATTACTGGCATGAATTAGCCCAAAATATAGGTCTACATATAAAAATCAATAAATACTTATCAATAAATATTGAAAAGATAATAAATTACCTCTAAAATACTTACAATTGCAAGTGAATAAATAAATAAATAAATAAATAAATAAATAAATAAATAAATATTTTAATGTGAACCTCAAACCAATTTCTTCAGCTGCTCTTAATTTAGGAAATATCACCATCTAGTGGTGATCTGTCAGACATACTAGTTTCCTCCAGAGCATTTAATTTAGTTCTGAAAATGTGTAACATATATTGACTTTTTTAGAGCAATTAACAGAAAGTTAAAGGATCAACAAATTCCCTCTCTAGCTTACAAAAGGCACTGGCATGTACACAGAGGAATGTCTTTTCCTTTTTAATGTTCTTTTCATGTGGTACCACCTAAAAATGAAATATGGAACACAAATTAAAATTAAATTAATTAACATAAGTATTTTGGCCTTGTCAACCCTTTAACTGCCCCACCAAGAAAAAAAATGGACTGCATTTAACTCCTAATGTCGCTAGTTAACACTAATGCATTTTTTCAACACATCTCATAATTTCTCAAATATCAGCCTCTACCAAATGGTTGATATGTCGGTTTATGGTAAAAGTGACGGAATTAATACATATACTATGAAAAATCTGAAAATATGAAGTGTAAGACCAGTTTATTTAAAAACAATCAAAATAAAACATTTTTGAATATTGAATCATTTATTTTTTGAAGTATGCCATAAAATATTTCAGATTCTCATTTAACTCCGAGTATATACAGGAATCAGAAAGTAAAATTAAATACATTTTATGGCCTTTTTTAAGACTCTTTCCTAAAGACCTTATAACCACTTTTCAACCGGAAACACTGGAAAGTTTTTAACTTACTGTATATTTTACTAAATATTAATGTAAGAAAATAATCTAGAACTAAAACATTATTTATATACTGAAACAAAATCTATTGATTTTAGCTAAATCTATAGTGGGATTTTATTGATTTCATAATTACACAACATCCTGATATTCACAGCTTTAATTCATGCAAACTTTAGTATACAACCATACATTACACAATCAAAAATTATACAAAATTTAATACCATGCAAAATAGCCTTTTTAATACTTTTTAAGGGCCTTAAATTTCTCTACATTGATTTATCAACTTTTAATACTTTTTTAAACCTCGCGGACATCCGGTAACATGTTTTCTTGTTTTTTTTTTTGTTATTGTTTATTACCAAAAAACAAAAGCAAATTAATTGTAGTAGTGCAACAGTAGTTTGTTTGTTTGTTTTTGTTTTGTAACAATGCTGCGTGTAAACCATTATTTAAAAGTCATCCTTTAAATGACTTTAACAGTCGTTTTTTAAAACAGTCAAAATATAGTCAACCATTTGGTAGAGCAGGCAGTTAAAGGCTTAAGACTAATATATACAGTTGAAATCAGAATTATTAAACCACACCCATTTTCCAAATGATGTTTAACAGAGCAAGAAAATTTTCACAATTTGTCTGATAATATTTTTTTCTTCTGGAGTAAAATCTCATTTGTTTTACTTTGGCTAGAATAAATAAATGGCTAGAAGCAGTTTTTAATTAAAAAAAAAAACATTATTAAGGTCAAAATCATTAGCCCCTTTAAGCTATATATTTTTTCCGATAGTCTACAGAACAAACCACCATTATACAAAAACTTGCCTAATTGCCCTAACCTGCCTAGTTCACCTAGTTGTTAATTAACCTTAAGCTGTATAGAAGTGTCTTGAAAAATATCTAATAAAATATTTATGCACTGTCATCATGGTAAAGATAAATCAGTTATTAAAAATGAGTTATTAAGAACTATTATGTTTAGAAATGTGTTAAGAAAATCTTTTCTCCGTTAAACAGAAACTGAGGAAAAATAAACAAGGGCACTAATAATTTAGGAAGGCTAATAACTCTGACTTCCACTGTATTAAATATTAATTAATATATTAATGTCAGGTAAAACAAAAAAGTAAGATAACTATGGTCAATATTTTATTCTCAACATTTTCTTTACACAGCTTTTTCTTAAACATAAACTTTAGTCTGTTATAACTGAGCCAAAATCATATGCACATAATCATAGAGCCTAAACACAAATACCTACAGACTTATTCTAGCTGTTTTAATTTTTAGGCTATATATATATATATATATATATATATATATATATATATATATATATATATATATATATATATTTTTTTTTTTTTTTTTTTTTTTTTTTTTTTTCCCCCACGAAAAATAAATATTAACACGTAGTTCAAATGAAGACTCTAAAAATGCTGTTTTTTGTTTCATGAAAAGAAAAATTAATCACACGGGCGTGAAACATGAGGGTGTGCAAACATTGACGCAAGTTAGTTTTTATGATGTACTTTTTCCTGCAGACAAATGCAAACCTCATTTGCTTCTGCTCATCTGCCTCAAGGCGAGTAATCGCACTCTGGTGACCCTGTTCTCCTCTACCATTCTCTTGATCGTCCTCAACACATCCTGTTTTGTTTGGGCCTGACAATGAGGTAAAAAAAAAGAAAAGAAACAGGTCACAAAAATAAAATGCCGTAAATCTCTGAAATCGTACTAAACCCACCATTTTATTTTCGCTTCGAGTCCTTCTTGACGGAAACACAAAATCATCAGATAATGGCTCTACAAAAAGCATAAGCACATTTATATTCTAACGTTTCTGTACATTAACAGAGTAACGTTATGCAAAATGTGTTGTTTGACCTCACAGACCTCTCGCTGTATGTCTGGCGCGCTGTGGTTTTCTGCCGTTAGATTCTCTCAGATTAACCGACGACTTTTTCTTCGAGATCCCCACATTCGAGTAAACCCTCAAAAGGTGGTGTATTTTCACCTTTCTTGAAAAGCATGGTGTTATTTCAGGACTAGTGTCAAACATAAGTGGAGTTCCCTCTTGAGTCATCGTGTTCATTTTCTTTCTCAGTTTGTTTTCTCCGTTTCGTCCTGTTTTCTTGTCAGGTTGGAACGGCTGAGAACCAAAGAGCGGTGTGTAAAGCAGTTTACGGTAAGTTGACATTTTAAACGGCGACACAAATCTTGACTTTACAAAATAAAGTAGTTCGCGTGTTGAGAAAAGGGACAGAAGTTTCTTAGAAAGGTCACGAGTTAATCAACAGTACTATCATGTATTAAAATGGCGGCACAAACGCTACTATACTGTAGGCCCTTAAAGGAGCAGTAAATGCAAAAATAACAGTTCATTAATAAGCGATATTTGTCCACAAATGTTATCAAATATTATTTTGTTTCAGATCCACGACTTAATTGTGGCAGAGACAGAATATGTAACGTTACGCAATTAATTGTTTTTCTGTCATTTTGTTCCATTGTTCATTTAACGTTACATAAAACTCCCCATTAGTTTTACATCAAATATGTTTCCAGTGGCATGTTTCATGCTTTATGACGACACACTGATGAATTATGAAATTCTTTTCATTTTATATTTCCTAACACACTAATTTTGTGCTGCCTTTTCACCATTCAAGCAATTGTAATTTATTAAATAGGCTCTCAGTGAAAAGTATTGTAAATAGGTATGAATTGTGAAATATGTTGAGTTATGAAAAATAAAAATCACAAAATATTTAACATTTACTTAAAAAAAAAATCAGTCGAGATACTAATCTAAATAACAAAATGTTATTTTGATTAACACAACGAACGTAGTACATAGATTGTTTGATAAACCTTATTATAAATCAAATCAAACTGCAATATAATTGATTTGGACATAAAAATAATTATAAATGGATGTTCACTTGTTTTTATGCATTAACAAAAGTCACGCCAGAGGGCGCTTTTTCCATCTGCAATAATGGTGAAGGCGGCCTTTAGTGCCTGCATTAAAAACCTTATTCAGATTTAATATAAACTCAGTTTTTATATATACACACATATAAAATAATGTGCATTATAGCACAAAGGGCTGCCAGTATTGCGTTAGAAGTACCAATTTGCATATCTCATGCATACCTTCATAAAAGATCCATTAATATGGCCTTACATTATAGTACAAATAATCAATCTCAGTAATTCCAGAATCAAGGTCTCACTGTTTTGTCCTCATCATAATCATAATGTTGTTTTTGCATGCTGCCTCAAAGAAGCTAAAAATAGGGTTGACCCCATTCTCAGACAACGTGCCAGCAGCTTAATGCATTTCCAACTGCGCTCTATCAAAAGATGATGCCTTACACTTTTGAAGGTTGAGTTAAATTAACATTAATTACAGGTACATTTTTCTACCATGTTCCATTCCTTTAAATGGACGAGACCCACGTCATTTCCTGCAATCAAGTTTATTCATTCAACATTTCACATTACAAATACTTTAAGCATTCTGTTATAAATATTTAACCGCAAATAATCAAGACTCAACTACCAAAGCACATGTATGACTAACCCAACTATAAAATGATATTTTTTTCTCTTTACATAACTCCATATGGATTTAAAATATAAAAATTAAAACTTAGAAATGACATAGCAAAAAAATTATTCCTCTTATAAAAATCTATTGATAAATACACCTTCCCATACACAGTTATAAACTATGTAAATTTAAATAAGCAGTTACATAGATAGTTTTCTGATATTTTGTTTCTTATCCTTCTGTAGACATGAAGCACAATATAGTGATTATTAAAACTAGAAAATCTAAGTGTACTGATCAAAAACTATAATCAAAATGACAATTATTACATTCCAATTAAAAATATATCAGTAAATGGTCAAAACATTATTCACTTAATATTTACATAGTTTGTAATCACAGTAGCATGAACTCAAGTAGGAAAATATGTGAATACATAAAAGTAAAAACACCTATATATATATATATATTAAGTAGTTCTTTTTTTACGGTATAAATCAGAGAACGATAAAGGATATGATGGCTGAAGGAGGGTTCTTGAGGTGTAGAAGTAATGGATTTGCACGTAGTTTATATTAAAAGTAGGTCTCTGGGGGAAAAGTATTGCACAGATCTCACTGTCAATATTTTGAAAGTGTTTTCAAGTAAACCCTGAATCAATACGTGACTAATCACCCTCTTTTTGTCAACTAGTAAATACAGTAACATGGGTTATGCACCGTTTGTGCATGGGGAAGGTACACAACTGAAAATGTGGCTAAATGTTTCCCACAACATGGCAAAAGGTTTGAAATTAAACTACTATTAAAAGAATGAAACCATAACTTAGATTTAGCTCATGCGTACCTACTGAATTAACTTTACCTTGTTGCCTCTCTGAATTATACACAACAGTAAACATTAATATTTTTAATATGGAACATTCATTATTGTGATACAAGGTGCATCCTAACATTACTCTAATTTACATTGTTAATTATTTTCTAAAGCCAATAATGAGGGATTATCATCATTCTCATAACTGATAACGGGTAGGTACCAGATAGGTATATATTTGTTTTTCTACATGTACCACACATTTTAAGGAATTTGTGTCATGCTAGATTATTTACTTTGCCCATTAAGACAGAAATGAACACTGTTTGCATTTTGCAAATATTAGATATTAGTTTCAACAATACAGTCACCTAAATATATATATATTCATATATGCGACAATCTAGGGATTTCAGCACGTAAATACATAGAAACCTAAACAAAATTATATTAGCATTTTCTTTTCTTTAAGGTATGCGCTTGCGTTATAACCAGATCTCTTAGTAACAAAAGGTACAAAATCTATATTCAACAAGTGAAAAAAAAAGTTATCACAAAAGGACTTTCCATTTGTGGAAAAAAGTGACTTGAAAAACAATATTTAGAAAAGTAGTGCATAATGGTTTTACGTCCATGACAAAATAATTAGCTATAAAACACAGTACAAAAATCAGCAGACCATGTAAAAAATAATATTTGTTTTTCAAATTCTTTGAAATGTGCTCAGCTACTGCAATGCTCAGTTAGAACACCAATGAACCCATGGCAAAACCCATGCAGTAAAACACTATCATCAATGCAACACAAGGTAATTTCTCATTAGCAAATACTACGACACTGAGTTAGCTTTTAGCACAAAATCCCTGACAAATGAGCCAAAGTTACTGCCATAACCATTACAAGAATCATAAATACTTAAGTTAATAGAATTATGTTTTTAATCCGTCAAACCAATTACATTTTTAAACTTTCTATCCTGTAGATGTATATATTATATTTATATAATCTTCATTGTATAACCACAGACAGTAGGATATCTCTAAGGCTCATCTTTGGTTTGCCTGACTAAAATCCTGCGCACCAAGCACAACATACAGTCACAGCTTTTATCACTGCATCTCTACTGTCCTTTAACCTGCCTCAGGGTCATCTACGCTTGATTACGTTACAGGTATCTTGGATGTAGTTTAATAGCAATCTGTATATAATGCTACAGGATTGGAAAGCCTGTGTCTGAGCATTTAGGAGAACAACCTCTAAAGGATTTTGACAACTACATCATTTTCCTGCTAAATCACAAAGATCTGCATGTTAGAACCAGTCCACATAATCATTCCTGAATAGACCCCTTAAAGAAAAATATGTCATTTTATATCATTCGTACGATAGCTTGTGGTCTTTTGCAAGCTGCTACTATGCGTTTGTTTGAAAGGAGTAACTAGAAGATTCCGTATTTGCCATGCAACCATTTAAGATTAGTCATTGAAATAGCAAACCTCAACATTAAAGTCATATGAACGAGACTTGAATCCTTACATTTCCAGCCTCTTTGTGAATAGCCTTCAAGTGAAAATGTGACCCATTACGAACAGAAGATGAGGCTCCGAGAGAATAAAGATAGAACAGTAATTCAGAGTCAAGTCAGGCTAAACATCTATATTTTTAAATCTAATGCATTCAAGTCTTCATGCGCACCAATGTAGCTTTTCAACAAAAATCAGGATTACACCATTTTCTTTTAGCATTCTCTTCTGCAAAAAAAATTAAAAACTTAAGAATAAATACAATTTTTTAGACTTAAAAAAGAACTCGAAATAAAAAGGACTTAGCAAAATGAAAAGTGCATGTATACGAATAGCACAGCCTTGACGTCCCGGATCAGTTCCAGCGGAAGGAGATGTGGCGAGGCCGGTCTCCTCCCTCCTTCACTAGAGGCTTGTGAAACTCACGTCCGGCACGCGAGTGAATGGCTGCCCAGCAGTATTCACAGTAGTATTGAAGACAAGTGACATTAGCACAGAAGAACGGAGCGAACTTGCCCCCGCAACGCGTGCCCTGACACTCATCACACAGCTGGTCATCCAGTACATATGGCTTTACTTCCACCTGGAAAAGGCAGACACTTTTAGCTTAGCAAAAATGCAGTAGCAGGCTAGTCCTGACCATGAAGAACAAAAGAATGAAGACCATAATCCGTTTAAACCAGGGGTGTCAAACAAGGTATCTTAAATGGCCCATGGAAAATTATTCAAGCAAAAATATATATAAAAAAAAAAAATTCATTAAAAAAAAAATTCGTTCTCTGCAATATTTTGAGGCACAGCTTACAACAGAAAAGGAGGAGCTATGATGAAAATAGCAAGATGCACATACATTTTGAAAAAGCACATAAAAAAAACATGCGCATAAATGTGGAGGATCAACTTTTTATTCTATAAGAAAAGATGTGCATAAACTATGATGGAAACACTTTTACGAAACACATTTCAGTATGTACATTAAAAATAAAACTATTTTGTTATATATATCATGTGATGATTAAAATGTGTGTGAATGGACAATTCAGCAGGCCGAGCACATTGTAAAACATCTGAAATGTTGTTTTGGTCATTCTAAAACGCCTGAACCATTTCAGTATTAGTGTTATGATATTATTAATTACCTCCAGAATTGTCAAGAGTGTCTGTGCTCTGCGTCTGACGCCTTTAAATGCCACCACGCGTTCATTGTGTGTCGGCATACAGTCTTCGGAGTCATTTATTAAATAATAAAAAGACTCATGCAGCTTCTCCTACCACAGTAAATTCTGTTTTTACTTTTTATATTTGGCACCAGTTACTCAGGAAGTGACAATTTTGTTCTTCGACTCATTGGATGAAAACGCTGCTTTATTTGCACGTCTTTTATGCAATATTCCAGTTATGTGCATAAATTTA